TGTTTCCTGAATGTGAAGTCCATCCAAACCAACGGTGCGAGGCCTATTGTCAATCATGTGAGGTCCCAGTATGCATAAAATGTTTCTTTAGCAATCACAAAGGGCATGATGCAGTCGAATTATCTAACGTTGTAGCGAATAAAAAGAAAATAATCAAAAAAGAAACTAAGGAACTTGAAACGGTTATTATTCCAAAGTTCCAAGAGAGTGAGGTGAATATCAGAAGCAAGGCCTCTAAATGCAGTGCTAAATTTGATGAGATAGAGCGAGAAACTACAAAACAAAGACAATTTTGGCACAATGAAGTTGACGATTTTTTCGACAAACTTGACCCTTTAATCAAATCTAAAAAAGTAGAGAATATGACTATTCTAGAAACACATCAAGGAGAGCTTACATCTTTGATCCCGAAAAAGAAGAAAGCAGTTGAAGAAAACAAACAAATATTGAAAACCAACAGAGTATCTGAAGTTACCGACTACAAATCCAAAACAGAATATCTAAATATTTGTACTGATTGCCCTGTCGATATAAGAATTCCTTTTCTGAAAACAAACACGGTCATGGGGAAGGAACTCAGTGTAGAGCTTGGAGAATATAGGGCTACACTGACGCAAGTATTACATTCTGGTTTAACTGATGAAGTTTACTTTTCTTTGAGAGAGCTACTAGACAAGCCAAGAGTTATTACAACAACTTATACTGGAATTAAACCACTTTGGAGAGTAGTATGTGTAGGGGCAGATGAAGTTTGGATATCTGGTGAAGACCCAAACATAAGACGTGTGGACATACATGGGTCCATTAAAGATAGCATCGAGACGACATGTACAGCGTTCCCTGATGACATGGTAGTAACTAGACAGGGATATCTGATGTATGGTGATGCTACAAATAGATCTTTAATCATTGTCAGAGACGGGAAAGCAGAAGTAATGGCCACCATATCTAAAGACTGGACACCAAGAGGACTGTGCCGTACAAGATCAGGAGGTATTCTCATTAATCTGCATAATGGAAAACAAAACAAAATCGTCCACTTAACAGAAAATAGAGTGAAAGAAGAAATATTTAAAGACAACAGTAAAAAAGATATTTTTAAAAATGGCGACGATATGCTGCTTTTGTCAGAAAACAATAATGGAGACATTTGTGTATCTGATCTTTATGCTAACACTGTGATAGTATTAGACAATACAAGGAGAATCCGGTTTCAATATGATGGTACACCTGCTAAGAAGAAGAAGCCTTTTGTCCCTACAAAAATTGTGACGGACTCCATGAGTCACATAATAATTGCCGATTATAACAATAACTGTCTACATATACTTGATGAGGACGGACAGTTCCTAAAATGTGTGGACAGTTGTGGACTAGATAAGCCCTGTGGATTGAGTCTTGACAGTAAGGACAGGTTGTGGGTAGGGATGGCTTATTCAGGAGAAGTGAAAGTCATTCAATACATGGAGTAAACAGTAAATATGATTTTAGATATTAAAATGTTTTGATCGAATTTGTTTTGTTCTAATCTCATTCTGAATCTTAATATTACTCATTTAGTGACATCATTATATACAAATGAAGGATTTCTAGTTTAGACTTTTACTTCGCACTCATTGAAGGAACGGTATCGGGCTGAAACGACCATGATACGAGATTCCCCTTTTTAGGCGTCATCCGTTTAGAAGACCTGTGATTTTCACGTCTAGTGTCCGGCTACATAGAACGTTGCTATTGAGATTTACACCTGAGATACATAGTGCCGGAAGTCATTCTTACCTCACGATGGGGACGATAAATTGATCAGTCGAATATCCGGCTGAAGCAGTTATTGAGGTGTTTAAATTCAGAGTTGGGATCAGTTGCCATGGAGGAGTGAACATTCCCTGCCGACCAGTTTAAACAACTGTTACTCCGAACAATTGTCACATTAAAAAATTACGGAAAAATCCGTAGACAATTCGGTGTGTCAATAATGGTCTAACAATTAGTATAATAAACGCCATACAACAATTAACTGAATGATAAATTATATTTAAGTTCAGCTTTCATTTCTTGAATTAAAAACCCGTCTGACAACATTGAGCTTGTTTATTGCCAAATAACACAAAACATGTTTGTTTCAAAAATATGTCATTTATTATGAAATGACAACATACAATATAATACATAAAACTGAATAAAAAAGACTGGGAGACAATGTAACCTTAAAACACAATTCCTGAGAAAAATTATAAAACAATTATGCAATAACAATTGGTCTCCCAGTATGTGACTATTACATAACATATATAATTTGGCAAAATAGGTGGCCTCCAAATATGGCATTATACAAATGAATTGGCTCAAAATTCCATTCTTTGGCCTACATAGGATATGACTAACAATATAATATACATATAAAAGGAATTAATTACAATGAAAACATAGACACACGAGTTTGAGGTGGCCTAATGGACAGTTAAAGTCTGTTTGGGGATGGAGTTGGGTAATCCAAAAAATATTTCAGCAAATGTTTGGCCGTCTTATCTTTAAAATAGCAGTAGATGTAATGATGCTAGTTCTCTTATCTCAAAAGGATAAAATTACCGGGGGGTCCCCACGGGTTTACAGATAAAGAGGCACAAAGTGGGGAAATACAAATTAACATATAATACATGAAACTTAACTTAAAATAATTTTACTAGCATAAAATATCATTTAAGTTCAGCTTTCATTTCTTGAATTAAACACCCGTCTGACAACATTGAGCTTGTTTATTGCCAAATAACACAAGACATGTTTGTTTCAAAAATATGTCATTTATTATGAAATGACTACATATAATATAATACATAAAACTGAATAAAAAAGACTGGGAGACAATGTAACCTTAAAGCACAATTCCTGAGAAAAATTATAAAACAATTATGCAATAACAATTGGTCTCCCAGTTTGTATTTTGGTGACAGAATAATTGTATCAAGCATAGAAATTGCAAAATAATGACTTTAAATGAAACTGTTGATATTGTGGTTATATCATCCCGTTTCTCAAGAATTTATTCGTAGAGAATGTCAATAATAGTTAAAAAATTGATTTAAATTTATTATGGGGAATGGTTATATACAGAGTTGAACAATCGTTTTGATTGTGATTTTTTCATTTTGACAAAATTTGTTAGAATGAACAATACAATATATGAAAAACTGCCAAACTGTTTGTTGTTTGTAATGCTTTGTCATGATGTGAAAGAAAGCTTACATCATGGTTTATACGAGGGATGTTAGAAAAGTTTTATTGTGAGCGTGCTATTTCTGCGAAACCGTTCAAACTTTCCAGATATTAAAATCTTTACCTATTTTTCAATAAATAGGGTGAGTTCACCATGCATCGGACACATACCTTGCTTCGGACAACTTTAGGCAATAAACTCTCTTTCAACTTAAGAGTTCTGTGTATTTATTTGTTTCTGTCATAAAGACGAAGATTTAAATTTTTTAATGATACCGATTGTGTTTATCATGTTGTGATAAAAATACCCCGCAAATGGCCTTGAAGTTACGTCATATTTTACATCATCAAAGGGGAATAACCCGAAATTTATGATTTTGCAATTTTTAGAGTTATCGTTCTTTTAAATTCGACTTCCACGGAACGAGTCGGACTTTGGTGAATTTTGTCAGGGATTGGTAATTTTACATAAATTATAATTAAATTTCACTTCAATGTTTGTTTAATTCTTATTAGAGCTTGTTTTTACTAGTATGCTATTTTCACCGTACATCGGACACAAATTAACCATGCATCGGACACTTTTCGATGCAAAGGTAAGCACTACCATTTTCATTCAGAACCCAGCTGACAGCTGTTTTTTGCGGAAAAAGAAAATAGAAACTCTATATTTTCAGTCAAAATACAAGTTATCAATATATGACGTCTGGAATTTTACTCAATTTATTTCTACAAACCAGAGTATGATAAACCATGAGAAAAAAGGCGCGAATTACGGCATTATAAGCATTTTAAAGCATTTCTAAGGCAGAGTGAGGTCTCGAGAATCGTTCTACATTTGTGCAATAATATCGTCGATTAAATTAAAGTTGAGGGTTATTTCTGAGATAAAAGATGAAAATATATCCATATCAAGGATTTGAAAGCACTGTGATAAAGGTATGATATTTTCCCGGTCTCCATACCGTCTGTCCGATGCATGGTGAACAATGTCCGATCCATGGTGAATTTTCAGTTTTTTCTAAAAACTCGATTTTTGGCGATATTTTCTCAATAAACGGCATATAATTGTGTCATAAATTGTTATTTTAATCACAAACTAAATGTTAAACTCCATTTTGATAATTTTCCGTCGGTAGCGATATCGCTAGAACTTGTTGAAGTACAAGGGTATCCGATGCATGGTTAATTCACCCTATACAAAAATTTGGTACTCTCCGGTGATCGTTGAAAAACATACAGCTTTTTTTTTTTTTTAATAAAACTTGCTTCACGGAGCATGCTACAATTTGGCACGTTTTCGTTACAAAGACTCTGTATTAAAAAGTAAAATTGCACAATTGTAGCGCAAAGAAATTCATGATATTTTACCTGTCGCTAAAGTATTCATAAAACGTCATTGGGAGAAATTTTGAATTAAATTGGAGGGTATATGACTGTGTTACAGCCATTTATAAATGATCAACGCGTAAAAACACAGCCAACAATCGGAACGTCATTGTGTTTCATGGAGCACTGCACTACGTAAAAATTTTGTGTGCAGACAAGAAAATGTCTAAAAAAGATATTAAAATGTTAAAGATGCACAATTAAGGAACACATTCTAAATGAATGAACGAGTGAATGAAAGACTGTTATGCGAGTTAATAAATTCATACATATAAAAGTTGTGACATGTCCATTTGTTTATTGTTTACATTGTTACAAGCGCTGCGGTGATTAAAGCGTTTACGTAACCACCTCCAGTACACCAGCGACACCTGACGTCAAAAACACGACGAATTCATATTCCCAGAAAATCTGGTGTGAGGAAGATATTGCAAGAGGTTGAAGACTGTTGTATCAATCATGAAGAAAGACATTGTTGTATTTATTTGTGTCTTGTCATTAATTGGATTAGCTGCAGCATGGGCAGGGTAAATAGTCTTAATTAATATTCATATAACGTTCCCAATGTCATAAGCATTGAATACATGAATATGCATTTTTTTCATTTCCTACTATTTATAAGTACTTAGGGAACGTTTGGTTAGAATTTTAATTTCTACATATGATACTGTACCTTTCATAAAAAAAGAAAAGCTGCATCTTATAACACTGCACTGCTGATAACAGCAGTTAAATCTGATTTTGATATTTTAATTTGAGCAACATGGGGAAAACTTTATCATGGCTGCTGTTGACGTAGTGGAAGCATATTAAATGCCAGATGTATAGAGTCAATGCGTTGAAATAAAAGTCCTTACATCAGAAATGTTATATAATTCACACAACTGTTTAATCATAGGAGAAAGATTAACATTCTTCTTGAACACATTTGAAGTTTTGAAAAAGTTGGAATTGAAATCAAGTAAACATGGTAAAATATACAATTTTACAGCTAAATTCTTAATCAAAGTTTAATTCCCAGTTTACGTCATTTTTATTAATAATTCCTTCTTTTATTTTCTATCTAAAACACTAGAATCATTAGAAGATGAAATTATATTTCCTTTATTAATTCAGATTCAAAATAAAATCCCAAATACTTAATTGGCAGAAAATTTCACGACTTGATTCCGACATGATAATGTTTACTCGTAGGGCTAATGTGTAATAGCTCTCTAATACATGTATGTTGTTTCACGTCTTTGAACTGAGTCGGTGGAATTCGTCTGTAAGGTAAGTTAACGGGCACTTCAACAGTCAATAGGATGTTGTGTTTCATTGTATCTGTAAAGTCAGTATATATCTAAATCCGATTGCAAAAATACATCTTGATATTTGTAGAATTATTTTTCTATGTTCCATTTTTCTTGGTCTGTCGAATATTTGCTGTTCAAATTAACAGAAATACAGAGATTTGGGTCACAGGAATCAGAACGTCTTGATAACAATCACATATTGGCAATAATATTCTAAGAGGATCTATTGCAGAGTACAGTTTTGCAAAATCCATGCAGATTTCTATTTTCCTGATCACAAACGCGGAATGCTGACTTCAACTTTAATTTGAATTGTTGGATATTTCAGACACTTTTTCATAATAATTTCCATGTTTTGAAAAAAAATGTCTTTACACTGTATTCCCGGGATATTATGTTTACGTTTTCTGGTCATTGTATCTTCTGGATCTTTAACTATAAAGATACCGCGTTCTTTTTTCTTATGCATTCAACGTCAGCTTCTATATATCCAATAAAAAGAATATGAATTCCATATGCTGCTTTTAAACTAATTTCATTTCATTCCTAATGTTTTTGCACATCGCTTCAATGTTATTTCTTTAAAAACTTTCCGTTTTTGTTGTCACCATGTATCCAGTGTCTAACATACAGTTGACTTCTATTCCAAACAGTTTCATGTTGACTGTAGGGCTCGAACCAAGAATACGATTGACACAGTAAGAGTCCTATTCAAGATATAGCCATATATAAAATTCTATGTGGGTTTTTAATTTGATAACTGTGAACAACAAAATAAAGAATATTTAATCCACCACGAATATTTCTGTTTTTAGAGTGTATTTCAAAAACTTTTTGAAAAAAAAATTTTAAAGATGAATTCACATTGTACCTGAAACATACGTAGGTGTAGCCTCAAACACGTAAACATAAGGCTGGGAAATTATAATGGGTTGATATTTATGATTTTAGGTACATGTATTTTTCTTTTTTTTTTATATAAAGCTTTTTTATTTTATCATCTTAGAAACTTATGCTATCGAACTAGACGGAAGTGTCGCTGGGTCTGGGGATGTAGATACAGTACCTGGCAGGGGTAATTTTATTATGTGTGTCTCTGTATGGAAGGGAAAGAGAGTGTGGTTGTGAAAACTATATCATATAGTCTGCAGGTGTTAAGAATTTTTTAACTCGTTATATTATCGAATATGTCTGATTATCAAATGTTCGAATATTAAGTATATCCTCTTCAATAATATCCTATGTCTTAAATTTTAAATTAAAAAATAAAGAAAATAATTAAGAAATATTTTTTTGCTTCTTCAAAAACTCATGCATTTATGAATCAATGTAAAACTCTTTCGAAAATAAACTAGTTAAAATTTTTATTTTGCTTTAAGGTTTTAATTCCTACATATCATCAGTGACTTTTAATAATACCTGTATCTGCTTTATTGTTAAAAAGAATTATCAATGTTTAAGAATTCTTTCAAAAGAAACAATTTAATTTTTTTAATACATTATTACATCAGATGTTGTGACTGGGGATGGATAAGTCAAGAAAATGAAGAGAGGGAATACTTCTGTTGCTCTGGTTGGAGGCATAACGGGAATCAGAACTGTAATATAGGCACGTATTGGAAAGTTAATAATTTTCTTATTCCATACGAAATTCAACCAATGTTTTCTTAATATATGATATCAAAGGTCGTAAGAATACTTAACAGACTAACTTGAAATTTTAATCATTTTACAATTCTCAGCAATTTGTCCTTATGATTGCGGAGGAAGCGTGAGGGGAAAATGTGAGACGCCCGGCAAATGTAAATGTAACCCAGGATATGTAGGAGAGTATTGTCTTTCAGGTGAGGGGCACGGAGTTAAATACCTTTACGTTTATTCGGTAACTTGATAAATATAAAATCAAAGTACCTGTGCTAGAGCACCCCAGATTTCTGTCGTTTGAAACTGGTTTATCTTCTACACGCGTTTGCAATATTACATCTTTAGTTTATTTCATTTGGGGAATGAAGCTTATTTTCACCTATGTTATACGACGTAACTTGGGGAAGTTACTGCTTTATTCACGGTTTATAAAAAAGCGTAAACTGTCCCAAATAATGTTATATCGTATAATTTAGGTTAAAATAAGCTACCTTCCTAATAACTTAATTTCAGTGCAGACAATAAGACAATTTTTACTCTAAAAATGGCTTCAATTGAGTATATTTTAAAAGTAACGTTTAGCATAGTAATATGTTTTTAAGTAGCTCAATGTGACGTAAGCAACTTATGTTATACGATTTAGATAAAATCTTTTATCCAATCTAATCACGTGTTACAACTAAAATTCGATTATTGTCCAATAAAAAAGCTTTATAATTGATCAATTACCGTATGTCTTTCTGTGCATAATCATTTAACGCTGACAGCAGTAATTTTTTTTCCAGTTGGCTCCTGCTCTCACTTACGTCCTTGTTTTCCTGGATACTGCAAGGGAGATAACACCTGCCAGTGCTTGAACAATTTCTCCCCACAAAACTCAAAAGGGATAGGAAACTGCCTGAACTGTGAGTACAAAGAATTATTCCTACAGTCATGAGTTTATAGTTGTACTTTTGGCGTTTAATACAAGTAGAGAATCTTTAAAAATCTCGAGATGATTGAATAATATTCAAAAACGCTACTGTATCAAAATGTTATAAACTTTATTAAAATTATCTTTCCGTTTGTTATCATTTTTTACATATAGTTCCCAGCAGTCCCGATCACTACTACCCAGCAATTGAGCAGAGTACGATAGACTTTGGCTATTACAGCCACACGAAAAACATGCTTATGTTTAACATGACGATAGATTCAGCTATGAGTGAAGGGAATAAGGAAGTTTTCTGGACTAATCGTAGGGACCTTAACATCATGATTTTCACTTTTCAGTCGATTTTTAGCTCCGATACTTTGAATCTACCTACAAGGCCTGGTTATGTGATTCAACACGAGTTCGGAATCGTAGAGGCAGACATCAATGTTAAGCATAAAGATTTTAGTGGTCGAGGTAAAGATGTGTTAATTTTTCAATCATACTAAAGATAACAGACTGTTTAAGAATTTTAACTTTAAGAATTCTAATAAAAATCATGATCATTAAAAAATTGAAGTCGTCCCATTATAAGCTGTATATATCCTACATATTCAGGCAAAATGTAATTGCTGAGTTTTAATTTATTGTTAGTAAAGTACAACACAACTTTGCCTTGTGATGGAGTTAGCAGAGACAGTCCAATACATGACATCCTTGTTCAGTGCAGACAGCGTATCGCTCCCTTTGATGTACGTTTCGACTCTGGTGATACGTAAGTTGAAATAAATAAATTCACTGTCTAAATTTTTTAGCCCTTTTCTTTAAATCAATAATAATCTCAAAACTAACCTACGCCATTTAGAGGAACTGTAAGACAACGGAGTAGTTTCCCAAGTTGTTAAGTACAGTAGACAAAGCAAAACGTGAACAAGGCAA